AACTTTGTAGTGTAGATGTACCCTTAGCTACTTAGTCTTCTCTTGGACTTCCCTGAAGGCCTTCCTTTACACCTCCCAAATAAACTGGGTTTCATATTTCATCTTCCTACATCCTTCCAAACAGCAGGTGCATTAATCTCACTCTCTCCCCCCTCTTAAATTAGGTGGGATTTATTCATCCCACCACAGCAAGTGCTCTATTTGAACACATGATCCTCGAAGGTTAATGACACTTTGTCCACATCTGTACTTACCCAGAAGTTCAAATTACGACAGGCAACTCCAGCTATGTTAATTGCGTAGCTGGAGTCAGTGTACCTTAATGTGATCTTTTGCACTGGCGTCAGCATAGAGGTCAATGAGAGGAAACGCTCCTGTCGACTTCTCTTACTCCTTGTGACTTGAGGAGTACCAGCATTGATGGGGATGTCTGTGTTAGATTTCATGGGTCTTTACTAGACCTGCTACATCGAAGGGATGTCTGTGTTAGATTTCGTGGGTCTTTACTAGACCTGCTACATCGAACGTCAGAACCACCGCCACATTGATGTTCTCACTAGCGTAGATGTGGCCTTTGTTGTTAGCCCTGCACTACCTCCCTCCCATGAAATGTTAATCCGAGGGAGGGGGTTGGGAGAAAACAGGAAGGCAAAGATCAGCCTTAAATCTCAACTATACTTATATGTAGATCAACACTCTGGAGATCAATCTTCTGGAATTTGATTTAGCAAGTCTAGTAAGGACTGCTAAATCAAACGCTGAGGGCACCTCTGTTGACTCTGGTACTCCATGGATTCATGAGGCGTAACGGAGGTTGATGGTAGCATTTCTCCCATCAACCTCCAACAGTGGGGCCACCCCAGAAATTCAATTTAAGGTATGTCGACTCCAGCTAAGCAATTCTCCTAGTTGGAGTTTTGTAGCTTAAATTGAATTTCTCCCCCAGTGTAGACATGCCATTAGAATCTAATGAGTGATTACAGTTTGACACAGTCAAGCACAGAAAATTCCCAGTATCCACTGGCATACATAAGTAGTACCTAGAAAGTTTTTCCCCAAATAGTTCATATACCTCGTGTCCTTTTTCCATTTTGCCACTGAAAACACACGTTAAAATTTCTTTTTAATGGGGTTATATTAAAAAACGAATTTTAAAAAACAGTTTTAAGTCATCTTGTGAAATAAAACCTTTCAAATTTTATAATATTTTTTATTTTTAAAAAGTCAGTATTGTCTGTTAATGAGGTTGAAATCAACTTTGATGACTTTTGAGCAACTTCATATATAGGGGCCAGAAGGTGAAATGTATTTAACCAACTAGTGGAACTTTCAGGGGTGTCTAGGTGCCTAAGTCACATAGGTGACAACAGAGCCATAGACTCTCTCTGTTTTATAGTCTCCTAAATAAATGGGCTCAGAGTGTTTGAATTCTGATGCAGAGCAGAAGTTTACTTAACACTTTTCTCATGCCTTCTTTTACCTCCCGGTTTCTCAAGCTGTAGATGAGTGGATTAAGAAGGGGAGTCAGGACCGTGTAGAAGACTGAGAACACTTTATTGAGGTCCCTCAGGGCATCATTTTTGGGTAAGACATACACAATCATCAGGGTCCCATAGAAAGCGGTCACCACCATGAGATGAGAGGAGCAAGTAGAAAAGGCCTTTTGCTTCCCCATAGCAGATGAGATTCTCAGGATGGTGCCTATAATAGCAACATACGACATAACCGTTAACAGAAATGGGGGGAGAGTAAAAATCGAGGCGAATATGAATGTCGTAAGTTCCATGAGGTGGGTGTTAGTTGTGGAGAGTTTTAACACAGGGGTGAGATCACAGAAGAAGTGGTCAATTTCATTGTGATCACAGAAAGTTAATTGTGACACCAATAGGACAATTACACTAATTGCCAGAAACGCACTTATCCAAGAGCCAGCTGCGAGCAGGAGACAGAACCGACTGTTCATCAGGGTTGGGTAGTGCAGGGGTTTGCATATTGCCAAGTACCGATCATATGACATTGCTGCCAGGAGATAGCATTCTGCAGCTCCCAGAGAACCGAAGAAATACATTTGCACGATGCAGCCCCTAAAAGAAATAGTTCTGTCCCCAGTCAGGAAACTGGCCAACATCCTGGGCAGGATGGCGGAGCTGTAGCAGGTCTCCAAACAGGACAAGTTCCCGAGGAAGAAGTACATGGGGGTGTGTAGTTGTTGATCACCCACAACGAGAGCAAAGATAAGGATGTTACCGGCCATTGTTACAAGGTAGCTAAATAAGAACAGAAGAAAGAGAAAGGTCTGCCATTCAGGGAGATTTCCGAATCCCAGGAGGATGAATTTGGTGATGGTGGTTCGATTGTCCCATTCATTGTTTTCTCTTGGTTGCATCTATGGGACAGAAAATGTGGCAATTTCAATAGAAGATAAATTAAAAGTGGCCAATATCTTCAGATTTGTCCCAAAGTTACCAAGAGTTGGGTCTCAAATCCTGACCAGGAAAATGATTGGATTGGCATTTCACCTGTATAACCAGCATTATTTCTCAATTTATCCAGCATTTTATTTAGCCCTCTTCTGTCTGAAGTATAGATTTCCCTAAGGTATAAATTCATTTTTATCTTGATAATCCACTTCCTATTATGAGAGTCGACACAGGAGAGATTTTTCCATCTTCCCTCTTGTCCAATATCCTGCCGCTCAGTGGCATATGGACACTTTACTGCCTTTGTGGCTTTTAAAATAGTATAATTGATTCCGACGCCAAAAGAGAACACTGTGATCAGCCAGGTGTCACAATTCACACGGAGAATAGAACTTCCCCAAAATAATGAGAAAAACAGCCCATTATCATTTAAAAGTCATCAGTGGTGAATCTACTATGAACTTTGGTTAATTGTTCCAATTGTTAATTACATGCCTTGAAAACATGTACATCTTATTTCCAATAAGAAATTTCAGCTTCAATTTCCCTCCCTTGCAAGATGTTGGACCTCTGTCTGCTAGATTGAAGAACCTACTATTAAATATTTGTTCCCCTTATAGATATTTATCAGATCTGAACCAATCACCCCTTCACCTTCTCTGTGTTCAGGTCAATAGATTGAGCTCCAAGAACCTGTCATTACATTACCAGGTGTGTTTTCCAATCCTTTCATCATTCTTGTGGATCTTCTCTGAACCCTCCGCAATTTATCCTTCTTCTTGTATTGCAGGAACCAAAACTGGGCACCATATTTTGACAGCAGATATAGCAGGGTCAATCACAGAGGTACAATATACTCTCTGCTCTGCTTGTCTTGCGCTGGTCTATGCATTCCACCACCACATTGGGAAGGATAAATAACCCAACCCTCAGTCCCTGACTATACGATTGTCCATCTTATGCCATTAATCGTGAAGTCTGAGCCATCCCCAGCAATGACTGGAGCTAGATGCTTCAGCTGAACAAATGACTCTGATTTACACAAAGGGAGAGGGAAAAGAGCCCAATTCACTGCAGTGGATTGACTCCTGATTTGCACTACGTAAGTGAGAAGAGATTCCACTCCATGTCCTCTCTAGAAGCAGTGAAAGATAAGGCCAAGGCTCCAAAGGAATTACACACGGATATTCTTACAAATACAATTCCTGCAGGTTGAGTCAAGATCCTGCAAATCTCTGTCATGAATTATCATGAGAAACAGTGTGGGAGGTGATATCTTTTATTGGACTGACTCCTTCTTCTGCTCTATGTAAGATAGGAAGGATGTGTCTCCTGATATCCCCGTCCAGTTATTTCCCTCAGCAAATCTTTTCTCCCATCTTTTCTGCTTCAGATGAGAAATCAGCGATTTCACCTAAAAGTAGTGACTGTGTTTTCCCAAGCTGAATATTAGTTTGTCAAGACATAGCAGAATAATCTATGATAGGTATAATAAAATATGGGGATGGGTGGATGGATGAGTGGATAAATAGACGGATAGATAGACAGACATATGGGCTGTGTCTAGACTGGCCAGTTTTTCCGGAAAATCAGCCGCTTTTCCGGAAAAACTTGCCAGCTGTCTACACTTGCTGCTTGAATTTCTGCAAAAGCACTGACTTCCTACTGTCTGAAATCAGTGCTTTTTGCGGAAATACTATTCTTCTTGCGGAAAACTTTTGCGCAAAAGGGCCAGTATAGACAGCCCAGATTTGTTTTCCGCAAAAAAGCCCCAATTGCGAAAATGGCGATCAGGGCTTTTTTGCGGAAAAGCGCGTCTAGATTGGCACGGACACTTTTCCGCAAAAAGTGCTTTAGCAGAAAAGCATCCTGCCAATCTAGACACTCTATTCCGAAAATGCTTTTAACGGAAAACTTTTCCGTTAAAAGCATTTCCGGAACATCATGCCAGTCTAGACGTAGCCATAGAGTCTATAGGGATAGACAGATGGATAGATAGACAGATAGATGGAATCTATAGGGATGGATGGCTGGATTCCGTTATCCAAATATGTGACTAGATTTTAAAGAGATTTTGGCTCCAAGCAGCTTTCACCATCCAACGTGACTATGAGTTTCAGAGACCTATGGGCCAGGTTTCCAATGGTATTTAGGTGCCTAAAGAGGAAGGGGTGGAATCTCCATCCCTAGAGGTGTTTATGTCCTGGCTTGACAAAGCCCTGGGTAGGATGGTTGAATTGAGATTGGTCCTGCATTGGGCAGGAGGCTGGACTCGATGACTCCGGATGTCTCTTCCAACCCTAGGATTCTATGACTGAAGGGCCTCATGGGGTTTGAAAACATCTCTAAGCAAACCCTGGATCTAACTGGCAGTGATCGCAGTGACCAATTTCAATGGCAGGTCAGTGGTTTTAGTGGGCATTCAGGGCCCAAATTGCCTCTCTGTGCCTTTTGTCACTTGATAACATCTGGGTCCCACTGAAATTCAAGGAGAAGTGGATGTTTAGACTCCTCTGTTATCTTAGGAAAGCCCAGACAACACTTTTTAGTGGATGCAGAGACAGAGGAACAAGCAAAAGGTCACTTTACCTTCACGAATGATGGGCATGGTACCGAAACCTCTGATCTGATACCTTCACTCAGTTTAGCAGAGACGATCTCCACAGCATGTCTGGGAATCCCCACCTGCTTCCGATGGTTCAGGTCTCTCTGCAAAGAGACCTGGTTTGGTTGTCTTGCACGGTAGGTGTTGTGTTGTAGACACAGTGCCAGAAAATAAGTGTCCTTCGTGACTCAGTATTGAGCCTTCCTATATGAAGATGAATCCCCTTGGCTCATTTGCTCGTGGACATTTCAAATTAATAATGAGGGGAATATTTATTCTCTAGGCAATGAACAGTGATGGGGAGGAGGGAAAGGAATCTCAAAGGGAAATGGAAAATAAGAGGAGACCGCATCTAAGGTACAAATCTCCATGTACTGAATTCCTGCCGCAATGGTTATTACATAGCTGCTGGGATTTTATAGTATTAGTCACGATGTATTAGGGAATCCAGACCTAGGACGGGTGTCTTTCAATGGTTTTAAAACTAAAGAAACAAAGAAATAAATGTTGGGCCAAATCCAGGAGAGTTGGAACCTGGAAACACTTGTTTGAAAAGAAAAAATTTCCATTGTTTCTTATGGACAAACTCACCGGGTGTGTCTAGACTTACAGGGTTTTTTCAACAAAAGTCCACTTTTGTTGACAAAACTACACCTGCATCTACACTACCGCCGAGTTCTGTTGACATAACGTCAATAGAACTCGGCAGTATTCTATGGGGAATAATGCCTTTTGTCGACAGAGTTCTGTTGATAGAAGGTGTTATTGCATCTACACTGTCCTTTGCATCCACACTGTCATGTTGACAAAGCGGCTTGCTTTGTCGATAGAACTGGATGCAGTCTAGACGCTCTTTGTTGACAGAGGCTTTGTTGACAGTATCTGTCATCAAAGTCTCTGTCAACAAAAGCCTGTAGTGTAGATGTACCCACCTTGTATAATAAGGCCAAATGTGGATCTCATAGAAGTCAGAGGGGTTCAGCCATTTGTTTCAAAGGGATATGGATTTTGACCATAGTCAGCTCTATGGACGAAGGGTTGGGTGTCATTTCAAAGGGATATGGATTTCGACCATAGTCAATACACCAAAGGATCTGAAAATGGCTGCCGGCAGCCTGGAGAAATTGCAACAACAGAGATGTAGGGGTGAGATTCCCAGCTTCTCTTGACCTGGGCTAGTGCAGAGTAGTTCTGCTAATGTAAGTGATTTCATAGCAACAAAGTCTTGGACAAGAGATTTGGAACTAAACTCAACCAGTGGTGTAAATACAGTTTTGGGGTCATTTTATTCTAACATTGGTGTAAATGAGAAAAGTGCTGTTCCACTCATAGACCTGGTATCCTACATCCCTCCCAGTGTGAATCTAGTCACACCTAGTCTGAAGGACGATTTCAGAATTTGCCGGCGGCTGATGTTGATAATCATTATAATTACTTTGTGCATGGTTGTGCCCAATATGGATACAGGAAACAAAAGAAGAGTGTGGGATCAGACAGACAAAAAATGTGACTTTTCCTTGTACTATCACACCACCTCATGGCATCCAACAGACATTCCTATTTGATTGTCAGTTGAGTGAGAGAGAGAGATTTAACTTATTGACCTTGTGTCTGGACTACACCTCTCTATTGACAGAGAGATGTAGATTAGGCACATTGAAATTGCTAATGAAGCAGGGATTTAAATATCCTGCACTTCATTAGCATAAACATGGCCACCGCTTTTTTTCAAAACAGAGTTTTTTCAAAATAACCCCTACAGTCTTGACATGGCTCTGTCAAAAATAAACCCTTTTTCGACAGATCCTGTAAACCTTATTTTTTGGGGAATACAGGATTGGTCGAAAAATGGTTTATTTTTGACAGAGCCATGTCAAGACTGTAGGGGTTATTTTGAAAAAACTCTGTTTTGAAAAAAAGCGGTGGCCATGTTTATGCTAATGAAGCATGGGATATTTAAATCCCTGCTTCATTAGCAATTTCAATGTGCCTAATCTACATCTCTCTGTCAATAGTTGATGTAAGCTTATATTCACTCCAGTGACTGAAGGGATGTTTGGGTATTTGCCAGTGTAAAATACACCAGTGTTCATGTATAACTTGTGGGCTATATTCTCATGCCAGCAGCTGATTGTGTTTGTAAAGACACACAGAAGCAAAGGAAAAATGAACCTTTAATTTTTGGAGACTAGACTCAATCCCATCATTTTCCACAGGGCAGCTTTGATCTCCTTATTCCTCATAGTGTAGATGACCGGATTCATTACCTGAGGCACTAGGGAATAGAAAACAGCCACCACAAGATCCAGCCATGTTGTTGAGCTGGAGGTGGGTTTCAGGTAGGCAAAGAAACCAGTGCTAAGTAGCAAGGAGATGACAATGAGGTGGGGGAGGGATTAAAGCTAAAAACACACACAAGGCAATAGCTCCAGTTACACTGGGGTATGAATCGGGGCAGGCCAGCTTGATTAGCTGAGGGATATCACAGAAGAACTGATCTACGGTGTTGCCTCTACAGAAGGTTCTTGCAAACATGCTCCCGGTCAACACTGCAGAATTGACAATACCAGTGATCCAAGCCCCGGCAGCCATGTGGACACAAGCTGTCCTCTTCATCACAGTCTCATAATGCAGGGGTTGGCAGATGGCAATGTATCGGTCATAGGCCATGACAGTCAGTAAAGCAACATCAGCTGAATTGAAGAAGTCAAAAAGAAAGACTTGGGCAACACACCCACTATAAGAAACCAACCTGGTGTTCAGGAGGGAGTTGGCCATAGATTTGGGGACGGTGACGGAGATGGAGCCAAGGTCCAGGATGGACAAGTTCACCAGGAAGAAGTACATGGGGGTGTGAAGATGATGGTTGAGGGATACAACCATGATGATGAGAAGGTTCCCCAGTAGGGCCACAAGGTAAAGCACCAGAAACAGCACAAAGTGCAAAATCTGCACTTCCCGAACATCAGAGAATCCCAGGAGCAGGAACTCGGTCACGGCGGTTCGGTTGGACATTTTCTTCCTCGGCACGTTCTGCGATGGTTGCGGAAGGCAGCAAGGAGAAGAACCGTGGTTAGGGTTAGAGGGTCCGAGGGAATGGCCATGACATTTTTCTTCTCAGCACATTGTGTCCAGCCTGTGGAGGAAAGGAGATGGGCACTGGTCAGGATTAGGGTGACAGAAGGCCTAACCCTGATTCTCATCCTAATAACATCACCTGACGTGAGCATCCAAGGTGCGAACCACTCGTGACCCCCAGGGGATGTAAATTGGGAGTGACAGTGAGAGCCATCAGCATCACAATCACATGTAAAGTGGAAATGCTCTCTTCAAGTCAATGCAGCGGGTCAGTTTACACCTGCTGGCCCACGATGTAACTGGATAAAGATGCGGTGTGAAGGATGGGACAGAGAACCACCCAAATCTACCAGTTCTGACAGAACCCTGTTGGCACAAACATGCGGCTCTCAACTTGGCATGAAACCATCGTGATGTCTCCAGTAGGATTCCCCTCTCGTGTTCACTCACTCCCGCTTGGTCTCTCTGAACCAGCACGATTAGCAGCAGTAGAGGCAAGGCTGAGCTGAGTACAGACCAGCGATAATATCATTGGTATTTCTGCTGCCACCGCTACACTGCTGCCTAGACTCATAGGACCATAGAACACTGGAACTGGAAGGGACCTCAAGAGTCATCGAGTCCAGTCCCCGGCCCTCTCGGCAGGACCAAGCACTGGGGGAGAGAGGAGATTTAGGGTGAACACTTTAAATTTTATGCAATTTTAGCTGAAAACGATTGCCTCTGAGTTGCCAAAATATAAAAAATGTGAGTGTTTGGGAGGCACGTCTACAAAAAATCATTTTTCTAATAAAACCATTCGGAGAAGCTCTAGCGATTTGATTGAAATAGCAAACACCTTCCAGAGCTTTATTTGCAATTCATATTTATGTTCTGAAATTTGCCCTGCATATGAGTCACCTACCATATGTAATTGAAAGAGCAAATCTACTGTGTCGGCATTTGATCCTCCACATCTATCTATCTATCTATCTATCTATCTATCTATCTATCTATCTATCTATCTATCTATCTATCTATCTATCTATCATCACCCACCACTTTATCTCCAGTCATTTGCATCCCTTTGCTGGATTTCTGAGTTTCTGCTTCTCATTGCAGTTCTTAGCAGACCATTCCGTAGATGGAAGCTTCCTCCTTGGTTTGGCCAAGAGGTGGGAGACTAAATGCAACGAGGGACCGAATCTCTCTCCCAGCTCTAGCTCCAAGTTGTGCAGGCTTCCGATGTTGTCACAGCCCGGGATGCCCCTGTTCTGGGGCTAAGCGGCGGAATCAGCTCTCTGGGGCTATGAGCCCAGCTCTGCTCTTGGTTCTCGGGCGCAAAACATCCTGACAATCTCTCCTAGCCGCCCTTAACCTCACAGCGCCTGCCCTGGATCTCACACACAGGCAGCGCTGAGATATGCAGGGCATCTCTACACAGCCGTAGAACAACGCCTATATTCACTGCACAGTCATGTGACCTACAATAGCTCAGAGCCCTGCAACCTCAGAGGGCCTGGAACAGCCGCTTTCTTCATGAACTCCACGTGATTACCACCGAGAGAGCAGAGAATTTGCAGGGAAGGGCTCTTGGGATGCATCCACCAGAGGATGTGGTCCTGGGTGTTCAACGTTGGCCATTAGGAGGTACCCAGAGACAAAGACTAAAAACCACGGGCCAGACCACGGGCTGGTGTAAAACTTGTTCAGTTCTGTTGACTTCTGAGCAGCTAGGCCTGTTTTTAGCCCAATAGGCATCTTGCCTTTTGATATCAGTGGTACTATGGCCAGCAGGGCCAACAGACTTACTGGGGCCCTGGGCAAGGCGGGGGTGGGAGAATCTCTGCTCCACACACACAGAAGGGGCGAGGCCCTCAGCACTCTATGTACAGATCCATACTTGATCCGCTAATTCGAAGTCCAGAAGATCATCTTCCATGTAGTATAGGCGTGCCCTAAATGAGGAAGTGATGTTTACTCCTCCTCAGAACACAAGAACTAGTGGTCACCAAACGAAATGAATAGGTTGCAGGTTTAAAACAAGTGAAAGGAAGCATCTCTTCATGCAACCTACTATCAACCTGTGGAACTCCTAGAGGCTGTTGTGAAGGACAAGACTATAACAGAGTTTGTAGGCCACTAAATCGCATCTAGATACCCCCTATGTTGAGCTCAAAGACTTCAGTTAAACTAAACCATTTCATTCCACCACAGACTGCACAACTGCGAACCACAGGCTGAGAGCCAAGACGAAGTCCCACCAGTGCCCAAGATCACATCAATGACAAGAGATTGATCCTCCAAGGAACCGCCAGGTGATCCAAGCAGACCTGCTCAATTTTTTTTTCAAATTGAATATTGTCAAAACTGGCCATTTGAAGAACTATTAGAACTTCTAGAGCTATTAGATTGGGAGATTAATCCAACCAGTTAATAAAACTGGGACTTTTCAGCTTTGAAAAGAAACAGTTAGGAAGGGGAAATAATAGAGGTCTATAAAATCATGACTGGTAGGTGAAACAAAATACAGGACTATGTAGCACTTTAAAGATTAACAAGCTGTTTTTTTAGATGATCAGGAGTAACATTAGTTCGGACTAAGGGCTTTAGTCCGAACTAACGCGTCCCGGCGCGCACTTCCTGGTTCAAATCAGCTGTGATTCGAACTAGTGCGCCGGCGAGATCATGTTAATGGAGCGAGGGATATTTAAATCCCCGCTTCATTAACTACTTCGGTTGTCTCCATTTGCATCCCTAGTTCGAACTAGGGATGCAAATGGAGACAACCGAAGTAGTTAATGAAGCGGGGATTTAAATATCCCTCGCTCCATTAACATGATCTCGCCGGCGCACTAGTTCGAATCACAGCTGATTTGAACCAGGAAGTGCGCGCCGGGACGCGTTAGTTCGGACTAAAGCCCTTAGTCCGAACTAATGTTACTCCTGATCATCTAAAAAAACAGCTTGTTAATCTTTAAAGTGCTACATAGTCCTGTATTTTGTTTCACCTACCAGTCATGATTTTATAGACCTCTATTATTTCCCCTTCCTAACTGTTTCTTTTCAAAGCTGAAAAGTCCCAGTCTCTGTAGCCTCTCTTCTCCTTTGGCAGTCTGAGACATTTGTCCAATGTACATAGCAAACGGACACTTTCGGCACATGATAGCATAAATTATATTTCTGGATGCACAGGAATATGTAAACCATCTTGTTAGTCTTTAAAGTGCTACATAGTCCTGTATTTTGTTTCAGCTACACCAGACTAACACGGCTACATTTCTATGACTGGTAGGGTGAGAGTAAATGAGGAACTGTTTTTTACCCATCTTCAGAACAGAAGAATTAGAGGTCACCATTATCCTGTAGACCCAACTGTCTTGGTTTCAATGTATCATCAGTTTCTCAGGAACAAAACCAAACTGTGAGACGATTTCAAAGCAGATCATTTGATCAGCCCATTAACTACAATTTCTTCCTTCCTTCTTAGGCACTGATCCTGAAATATTCCCTTCCCTCCCTTTGGTAGGTTTCTATGTCCCAGTGAATGCCTTTCAACTGAGGATTCTCAAACTTTAATCCGATGCTTAACGATACAATCTCTTCTGCACTGTGATCTTATCAACGTTCTCTCCTGGCAGACACAAAGATAGCTCTTTTGCCTATCCAAAGTCACACACCATCCCGACACAGGCCTACTACCCCTTCTTCAGCTCTGATTCCCAGGCAGAGGAAATGTATTTGAAAAGATTGAAGATTCCAAGCTGGGGTGTAACAGCCAAAACTTTATTGGCTTGAACAGGCAAGAATCAAGCCTGGTGTAAATCAGCAGCAATGCCAGTGGAATTAACGGTGAAAACTGCTCAACAGACACCTTAGGGGCAAATCCCCAACTAGCATAAAGTAAACTAGCTCCACTGAAATCCAAGCGCCAAAAGTCCATTTGAGGTAAAGAACCCTGGCTACTTGCAGCTCAGTGGACCTGTCTTAGTTTATACCTGTTTAAGAAATTGCTCTAAACTTTTAGGGTGTGTCTAGACTACAGAGTTTTGTCGACAAAAGTGGACTTTTGTCGACAAAACTATACCTGCGTCTACACTACCACTGAGTTCTGTCGACATAACGTCGACAGAACTCAGCAGTTTTGTCGATGCTGGTAAACCTCATTTTATGAGGCATAACGCCTTCTGTCGACAGAATTCTGTCGACAGAAGGTGTTCTTGCATGTAGGGTTGTGTCTAGACTACAGGGTTTTGTCGACAAAGCAGCTTGCTTTGTCGACAGAACTGAATGTAGTCTAGACACTCTTTGTCGACAGAAGTTTTGTCGACTGTATCTGTCGACAAAACTTCTGTCGACAAAAGCCTGTACTCTAGATGTACCCTTAGTGTTTGTTGTGGGGAACCTCTTAGGCCGTGTCCAGACTCAGGGGTTCTTTCGAAAAAAGTAGCCTTTTTTCGAAAGAACTTCCCCTGCATCCAGACTCAAGCCGCGTTCTTTCGAAATTATTTCGAAAGAACGCGGCTTTTCTTTTGATGGCGGTAAACCTCGTTTCACGAGGAAGAACGCCTTCCTTCGAAAGTTCCTCTTTCGAAGGAAGGCGTTCTTCAATGTAAAGAGGCCGTCTTTGAAAGAGAGCATCCAGACTCGCTGGGTGCTCTCTTTCAAAAAAGCGGATTTGCTCTATCGAAAGATCCGCCTGCTGTCTAGACGCGATATTTCGAAAGAGGCTCTTTCGAAAGATGCTTTCGAAAGAGCCTCTTTCGAAAGAAGCCTGCAGTCTAGACATAGCCTTAGTGACCAACATCAAAGAGCCCGAGCTGTGAGGTTCTCTGGTGGCTGCATCCCAAGAGCTGCTGGTGCAACACAGGAGACAAAACATCTCTGCTCTCCCAGAGGGGATTAGGTGAGGTTGATAAAGGACCAGGCTGCCCCAGGCCAGCTGGAGCTCTAGGGCACGTCAGATCTGGGCTCTTCTCATTGACACGCTGGTGCGACCAATGAATAGCTTCTTCTGCCACCTCCTTCTCACAGCTCTGCCCTGAGCTCCGCCTTCAGCATTGTGGGAGATCCGTGGCAGGGGCTGGTGCCCCTCTGTGGGGTCCGGCTCAGCTAGGGCAGGGTGACAGGGAAGTTTGCTCCGGACGTGAAATCAGAGCTGGGTTTACAGCCCTGGAGACCGGGCTCCAAAGGACAGCACAACATCCTGCGTTGTGACCATGTTTGCAGCCTGAACAAGCCAGGAACCGTTTCTCAGCTGGAGGTGGGTGTCTTCCTGCTTCCAACCTGTTTAGTCCTTCAGCTGGCCCGAGATGGGGAAATACAGTAGAGGGTCCAGGAACCAGCTGCTGGATAACTCAGCGAAGGGGCATTATTCACAGACAGGCAATAACAGCAGAATCCCGGCAGTGAAGTGTCTGGTGTAACACAGGCTGAGAAAAATCCCGCAACGCCCGGCACGGTAAGTCTGTTGTTTCAGTCCAACAGGGTTCGGTGTTAATGTCCTGGACAGATTTGATAATGCAACTGGGAGTGACAAGGAGAACTCTTCCCAACTTGTTATCTGTGTTTATTGAAATGTTTCCAGCTGCTCAAGGGTTTTTTCCCTCTCAGAAGCAAACAGGTGACTTGTGATAGACATTATGAAAACCAAGCTTTTGTTTTAGTTCATCAAGAACGGGACAACCCCAAAGTAAACCACTGGAAATGGAAACATTTTCAGGTAAATTAAGGAGAACAAATGTTTTGAGTTTACTAGCACACAGGTTGTCTTTCAGGAATAACAGACTTCCCCGGATTTCTGGAGTTGTCAAACCAGTGTTTCTTCGATGTAATTTCACAGAAAATGCCTCATTATCCCAGACTGGCAAGTTAGATTGGAACTTGTGGGAACATCAGTATAGTCCAATAATGGTAAAATCTGACCCCAGCCCCTCTACTGCAATGGAGTGTGGTTCTAGTTCAAAGGGATACGTGTTGAATGGTAAATCTGAACAAACAGCAAAGTTGGTAGCAACAGCGTCGGTATTACATATACTGGTGCCTTAAAAGGAGGATAGTGTGAGAGCCCCCAGCTACAGCCTGTATCTCTTAGCTCTGCCCACGGACAGAGCTCTTCTCTAGCAGAATATCCTCTCTCCCAGATTTCTGCTTGCTAAATACAAATGCTACAAAACAGGGCGCCAAAGCTACAAATGATCAGACCCAGCCTGTCCCACAAGCAACCCCAGTCCTAGCAGAGGAGGCAGAGAATGGGAGGGGAAACAGAGGCACAAAGAGGGCAGGTGACAAGCCCAAGGTCACACAGCTGGTCAGTGGCAGAGCCAAGCAGAGACCCCAAGTCTCCTGACAGCCCTTGACCCTGCAGAGACACAAAGGGCCCAAGGCGATGACACCACCGACAGGCAGCCGGGTGATGTTCCCAGCCCATCCTGACAGAGAGCTGGGAATGGGATCCGATGCCAGCAGCAGGGCGTCTATGTGGCGTTCCAATGGAATATGATCGATGAGCCGCCATGGAAGAGGTTGAATCATGGGGTGTCACATTTCCCTGGAAAGGGGTTTTCAGGTGCTGTTGGCATTTCAGTGTTTCAGTTTCATGCCCAAGTACAGAGACTGCTGTTCATACCAAGAGGGGATCCAACTCAGCTACAGCAGCTGTGTTGGGATTGCACTTTGTTCCACCCTTTACACGGCATTTTATCCACCCCCATCCTGATCCTGATCTTCAGATGGTGCAAACGGAAACGGATGCACCTCCATGGACTGCACAGGAGCCGGGCCAATAGAAACAAGTCTGGTAACTCACCACTTCTAGGGTACGGCTACACTGGGTCGGTTTTTCTTTTCAGACGAGGTATGCAAATAGCACTCACATTTGCATACCGTCTTCTGTGGTTGGTTTTTTCTGGAAAAGGCTTTCCCACCGTCAACACAGGGCCAACTGTCGGAAACCCCCCTCTTTTGAAAGTCTCTCGTTCCTTGGAGTTGACAGGGGCTTTTGAAAGAGGGTTTTTTTCCCAACATTCAGCCCCATATAGATGGGGCTAAATGGCGGAAAAGCCTCTTCCGGGGAAAAAAACGGAAGAAGGTATGCAAATGTGAGTGCTATTTGCATACCTCTTCCGAAAAGAAAAACGGTGTAGCCGTACTCTAAGTGAATAGCTGGGCATGGTGGACACCCAAAGCATGAAAGATTTCTGAGGGGAATCAGGGCCGTTCCATGTATCACTCTGATCCCCACCCCTATCTCTGTCCTTCCCTTCACAGCCAAAACACTCTGAACTTAGAATGAAAATGTCCAACCAAACCACCGTGGCCGAGTTCCTGCTCCGGGGATTCTCTGATGTTCGGGAGCTGCAGATTTTGCACTTTCTGCTGTTCCTGGGTCTTTACCTGGCAGCCCTGATGGGGAATCTTCTCATCATCTCAGCCATCGTCCTCGACCATCATCTTCACACCCCTATGTACTTCTTCCTGGTCAATCTGTCCACCCTAGATCTCGGTTCCATCTCTGTCACCGTCCCCAAATCCATGGTCAACTCCCTCCTGGACACCAGGGTGATTTCCTACCCTGCCTGTGTCGCCCAAGTCTTTCTCTTTGTTGTCTTCACTTCAACCAATTTTGCCCTTCTCACCATTATGGCCTATGATCGATACGTCGCCATCTGCGACCCTCTGTACTATGAGCGAGTGATGAACAGGAGAGCTTGTGTCCACATGGCCACCAGTGCTTGGCTTGCTGGTCTTGTCTTCTCTGCCCTGCACACCGGGAACACCTTCCGGTTACCCTTCTGCCAGTCCAACGTCATCGACCAGTTCTTCTGTGAAATCCCCCAGCTCCTCAAATTGGCCTGTTCCAACTCCGACCTCAGTGAAATTGGGCTTCTTGCCTGTGGTGTGTTTTTGGCTTTGAATTGCTTTGTTTTTATAACTGTGTCTTATGTTCAGATCTTCAAAGTGGTGCTGAAAATCCCCTCTCAGCAGGGCCGGCACAAAGCCTTCTCCACCTGCCTCCCCCACCTCACTGTGGTCTCTCTGTTAGTTTGCACTGGTTTCTTTGAGTACCTGAAACCCACCTCCAGCTCAGCATTAGTTCTGGATCTTTTGGTGGGTGTTCTCTACGCCGTGGTGCCTCCCATGATGAATCCGGTCATCTACAGCCTGAGGAACAAGGAGATCAAAGCTGCATTGAAGAAACTGATTCTGTGGAGGTTATTCACCAAAAATTAAAATGCCCTTCACTGGTCCTTGATTGTGATTTCACTCTGCATTTCTTTATAAATTTAATCAAATGATGACAAAATTATTTTCATAAGAACACGGGCTGCAAATTTTTTATGAAGTAATGAAATCAAGACTAACTTCACTGACATGTAATGTGTTAATTTAGAATCACACCCATGTAGATAAAATCAGAATCTACATAGCTACCCTTTAAATCTACCTACACATCTATGTATCTGTCTTAGGGATTTGTACTGGGAACCTCACCATGCTCTCTGAGCTTTTTGCACAGAATATCAACAACCACAGCCAAGTCACCAGTGCACTTAATGGAGTCCCTGCCTCTTCTCTTTTTTGGGGGTGGGGGTTACAAATTGGGGTTGAGGTATGAGGGTGTGTTTGCTTGATTGGTTTTTCAATTTTGTTTCATTTTATGGATTCGGTGGTTGACATGTTTCTTTGTTCCAAGTGAATTTTGGGAGGTAGGACTTTGCACAGGGGAGTTTCCTTGATTGAATGCAAGATTAAACAGGGCCTATTGTAATTAGACATACAGTTCTGCTGTACTGGCTATTGTCCAAACTCACTAAGAAGGCCAGTAGCAAAACAATAAGCTAAGTCTCATCGGAGTTAGGTACGGAACGTTTTTTTGAGGGTTGTGCTCAAATCAAGTTCTTTGGAATTCCTTCCTAGTGCACGAATTGCCTTATATTCCTTTGAAATTCCAGCCTGAATATTTAAATTGCAAGTGTAATGATGCTGTAAACTGGGGGTGCCGAGTATAAGTCACATTTGCCAATATGACTCCATGTAATTATTTCAAATCTGGTCTTCATAATAAGAGAACATCAAACACAAACATTGATGGGTCCGTGAAATGACTTGGGGGTGTCACCCCAAACACTGAGGTGTTGTGTGCAGCAGAGTTAACTCTCATCCAGGCCTAACCCTCCCCTTTCCCCCCGACATTTATTGCGATGGACTACTCAGTTTCTCTAGAGAGAACATGAAGTGACGGAGCTTGGGAGATGGAACTTCTCTCTCCCCCACTTCTGGGGTGGGATCCTTTCAGATCACAGCTGGACCTTGGTCTCTGCTGGGGCCGTTGACATGGAGTCATCCAGTCCCAGTGTAGACGGCTGGGATGTTTGGTGAATGGAGGAGTTGAGACACAACACTGCTCTTTTCACTTGTCTTTCTAATTCTTCCATCTCGTTCCACACTCCCCTTGTATTAGGAGACACACCTCTGAGACATCTGTTGGATTTCCCTGTTCTGTTCTCTCTCGCGTCTTCTTTCTTCATGTTGCGATGTCCCATGTTTCCCCCAGATTCCAATCCTTCACCCCGGTCTCTATGTTCTGGGTTCGCTGTGGGATTTTGTCTCCTGTCCCTGTCAAAATCTATTGTAAAGCCTCAGGAGAACATGGCATCTGTTCCCTCTGCCTTGGTGGGAGACTCCTCGTCCCTACTCACCCTACACACTATTTTTCAGCTCTATGGACGAAGGGTTGGGTGTAGGAGAGGTGCATGGCCTTCCGCCCAACGTGTCCAGCTTCCTGTGATGGAGGCATTTCTCCTTCTCCCGGTGGTGCTACTCCCATCCTGTGCCGCTGAGTGGTTTCCTCAGCTTTGGAGGTCTCCGTAGGCATGTTTTCAATGAATCTCGCCTGGGCACGGATGCTCCTCAGCTGAGCCCCATCTTTCAGTTTGCCCTCCTGCTGCCTGGGTGATTCTACACCCCCAACTCTGTCCTGAGCTCTTTCCAATCCCCCAGGCCTCTGCCTTGACCCCTGCACTCCCCCCAGACCCGCTCTGAGCCTCCCACCTCTACCCCCACCTCTACCTTTACTCCAGCATCCTCCACCCCACACCCTAAACCCCCCACCCCTCCTAATCCCCTACCCGGACTCCTTCAACAGCCTAACTCCCTGCCTTGACTCCTGCACCTCCAATTCATCTCAGAGCACCTACCCTCAGCTCCTCCACACTTCCCAGACCCTTATCATCAGCTCCCCCATACACACCTCCACCTACTGCTCTGAGCCCTCTTGTCCTCCATCCCATTATTACCCCACCCTTGGAGAGTCAGAGTGGGAGGTGCCATAGGATAGTACCTGTAAGAAATGGGCGCAGTTCCATCGACATAACGTCAACAGAACTCAGCAGTTTTGTCGACATATGTAAACCTCATTCTACGAGGAATAACGCCTTCTGTTAACAGACTTCTGTCAACAGAAGGCTTTATTACATCCACACTGTCCTTTGCGT